AGTAGGTTAAAATCAGTACTTGTTTATTGGGCGACGGCGGCGATATCCCTTCTCTCCCAATACTTGGCTGCAGTTTTTTTTGGGGGCAAAACTGGAGCGATAGGAAGTTGCGAATAGTCAGTAATATGGTAGGTAGGATAGGAGAAGCGAGGGGGGGGGAAGGTGAAGCGACAGGACACGCTCTGATCCCGCCAAAATATGCTGCTAGGGTGCTCTTAGAAAGGTGACTTATGGCCGTCCCACTCTTCATCCGAAACCATCTAGTCCCATAGAGCCACTGAGGTCGATTATTAGTGACCAGCGTTACCAGGAAGCATGAAAACACTTATATGAGTAACAGATATGCCCTGTAACTCACTGTCAGGCCGAGCATAAGTCAGGTGCTCATTCAAATGCCACTACAAATCTGGAAAGCATTCAAATGCATTACGCACCCTACTTGCTAAATCTGTTCGCCTGCCCCATTACTCTTACGTTCATCAGGATAAATGAAGCGCTTTTGCACCAGCTGCTCCACTAACTGCGCCGCTTTCGCTTTTCTATCGTTTTTTAGTTTACTTACGCTGATTTAGTAACTAGTAATTTTAAGTTGTGCATGCGTATTTTCCTGCCGGTACTTCTTTTGAATCCAAAACTCCTCTTCGTTCTCAACTATTCCATCCTAACTATTCCATCCTAATTTTGATAAAATTTCAAATAAAGTATCGTATCGTCGTCCCATCCAGAATTCATCGAGTTATCCGCTGCGCCACCCGATCCGCTGTTGCGTCGGTGCATGTCAAGTGTGTTACTACATGTACTTATACTTACATTTTGACTTTATTTGGAACTATTTTCGAAACCTAATTGACGAGCATCTCATAAACTATGCATGCTCGAAGTTACAATAAGAACGGAGCCCATTAAGGTAGTTAAAGGCAAAGCCCGCGATCAGTTGCCATCTTAGATAGTGAATTTGGGCTTCGCATAAAGAGGACAAGGTTCAGAGTAACTCAATAGTGAAGAAAAAAGCAGAAAAAACATGCCCAATGTCCTAAATAGGACCCCATTACAATCCTGGTTGTACGTGCATGCGATGGGGAAACAGCGCTTATGGTGGCGCCACGTTATGAAAGACTGACCTTTAATATTCTTATTTTTTCAGTGAATTCATCGCATCATTAATGTTTCTTTGTTCTTTTTGAGTTTGTTTTGCTTTTCAAATTCAAAATGATGCTATTTTCCTCCAACTTTTCGTGCACTTTGCAATACATACTTTTTGCAATACATTTCCAGTTGTACCCCTTTGTGCGCTCAGCTGACCCAATACAACCCTACGTCCGTACAAATAACGAAGGGGCTCAAATGTTCATGCTTTTCTCGTCCGAAAACTTGGTTTCTCACTAAAGGGCGGCGCTTGGGAGGCGGAGTCACTGTGAATAGGCGCCCCTCCCCTGCACTTTTTTTTCCGCGAAAACGGTACAGGGTTGTTCGTCGCGGACCGCACTACCCTCCCCACACCATATTTTCAACTTCGATACCTGATCGCGGACCGTTTCTTTAAGATCGCCCATTCTTCGCAAATTCTTTTCACTCAGTTTTTGACCTCTTCAGAAACGCATAGCAAAATGAAACCCATTTTTAAGATCCTTTGTATGGACCCCTACAACAAGCAACAAACCATTTCCAAAAAGCGCGCCACGACCTGAAAGACCCCCCCCTTGTTAGTATCAGCTCCATATCTGCTTTTGGAGTCGTCGATGAGATTATTCCCTCAGAAAATCGGAGCTACTCTACGCTAGATAATTAAAACGAAAAAATGAGAGCGGAGATCTCATCCCTTGATACTGCCCTCCCATGCCTATGCAAGGCAAGTTCAGGGGACCAGGATCATAGGATGAAATCTCAGCCCATTTCTTTTCTTTTTGGCCACCTAATGCGGGCGTTTGAGCATTTCCACGTTCTGAGCAGGATGAAGACGCTAACAGAAAATCGAAAGTGGGCAGATGTTGTAAGGGCTTCCAAGTATACGATTTTGGTTCTCAACAACGCTTTCTACAGAAAGTTGAAAAATCCAGTATTTGGACGCATGAAGTTAATGATCACGACTGGAATAGAGTGGTCAGTTTCTCCGGGATGCACCACGCACTTCGCTACAATCAGTTGTTGGGCTTGTAGGATTAGCAGAAGCTGCATTTTATGCAGGCATACAAATGTGGCGTGACCAATGGACTAGATGAATGAATGCATTCCAGCCTGTTTAAGGAATGGCTTGTCAGTGACTTGTCACCACGTGAAAATGTCCATATTTAGGGCTCCCATGCTTTTTTCAAAGATAAATTATATTAAAGTTCTCAGCGTTTTGTGTTACTATTTTTGTACATTCATTGCTGATTAAAAACTCATTCTCCCTTGCGTCTCAGTAGTACATCCTGAAGAGAATTTTTTGCGCTATCTGATGGTATAACTGCCGTTTCACCATTGCTTGATAAACCCCCTTTTCCCAAGACTTTTTGAAGCATGTCAAAAGAGCAACTTCGGACGATATTTTTCTTCAACTACAAATTGGGTCAATCCGCAGTCGAGACAGCTCGACAAATTAACCAGGTGTGGGGGCCCAATAGTGTTGGAGAAAGCACCGTGCGACAATGGTTCAACAAATTTCGTTCTGGAGATTTCAGCCTTGAAGATGAACCTCATAGCGGTCGACCTAAAGCAATATCTGACGAGGATTTTAGGGGGATTTTGGAGGCTGACCCATCCCAAACAGTTCGAGAGATAGCAGAAGAGCTAGGCGTTGGCAAATCCACTGTTGCGGATGGTCTGAAACGCATTGGGAAGGTGAAAAAACTCGACAAGTGGGTGCCCCACAATTTGAGTGACCGGCAGAAATTGGCACGTCTCGAGGTTTCTTCTTCACTGCTTTTGCGCAACAGAAACGACCCGTTTTTGGACCGAATTGTCACCTGTGATGAAAAATGGATCATGTATGATAACGGACAGTGGTTGGATTGCCGACGAACCACCGAGGTAATTTTCAAAGCCGAACCCTCACGAAAAAAGATTCTGGTCACGGCTTGGTGGTCATCGGCTGGTGTGATCCACTATAACTTTTTATCACCAGGCCAAACCATCACAGCAGAGTCCTACTGTGAAGAAATCGACGAAATGTACCGAAAATGCTGCAGCCAGCACTTGTCAACAGAAAGGGTCCGATTCTTTTGCATGACAACGCCCGCCCACACGTTTCACAAATCACTATCCATAAATTGAACGAATTGGGGTTGAAGTTCTACCTCACCCGCCATATTCTCCAGACCTTTCACCAACCGACTATCACCTTTTCAAACATTTTCAGAACTTCCTTGCTGGAAAATACTTCATCAATCAGGACCAGGCAAAAAAGCCTTCGTGGATTCTCGACCACCCAGTTTTTCTTTGATGGGATTTATCGACTGGTGTCACATTGGCAAAAGTGTGCTGATTCGAACGGTGCTTATTTCGATTGAATCCGATGAGTATTAAGAAAGTTATGATCGTTTAAAGTGAAACACTCAAAACGCTGAGAACTTTCCGGTCAACCTAATAGTAGAAATTCTTACGAGACTAATTGGAAGCTGGTGCTGGCAGCGGCCTGCTGACACATCCCACGATTTGAAGCCGTGTTCTTTGGTGGCCAAATATGAGTTCCATGCTGATTCACTTACCAGTGAGAAACAGACTGGATAAAACGTGATAAATGGGGACCCAGTATTGGAGGGTATTCGAATAAGCAAGGCACTGCTGCGCTGACGAGCGACTAGAGGTAAAGAAGGACAAAGAGAAAAGAAGTTGGAAAACGGAGAAGACGACTGAAGTCGGCACTACCTAGACTGAACGTAACGATCCACATTTGACTACAGACTATAGATGACTATAGACAGATTTGACTACAGACTATAGACAGACTAGACTATAGATGTAGGCTCGTAAGCATATCTCGGACTCGGCCAGGTAGGTAACCTGTACGAGTTGCGTTTCTTCGGCTTGTGTCCACCCCTTCCTCCCTCCTTTGCCCGCTCTATGACATCTTTCTGGGGAAAAAGTGGAGAAAACTATAAAATTTCTGAAGAACTGTTGAAAAAAAGTTTCAAAAAATGGTAGAAAGTTAGGAGAAGCTAGAGAGACGGTAGAAATTTGTAAGAGAGGTCGTATGAAAGCAGGAACATTCGAGAAAGGTTGCATTCTGCACAATTTCCCTCAACGGCTTGAGGCGCTTTGGCTGGCACATCTCGGCTCGAGATGGGTGAGGTAACTTCTACGGGTGGCTTTCCTCCGGCTTATGACTACCGCAAAGCCCTGGCCACTGACTGTGCAGCCACGAAATAGGGATTTTTGATACGACGTACCGGGCTACTTGTACATAAAGCACAACAGTAGTTGGGATTTTTTTTGATTTTTCTCCCCATCTCTTTCCATCCTACCTACCTTTTTGGAATTCCTCCGATTCCTTACCAGTTCTACCAACTCCACAACCACAAAAAATTTTCTCCAACACCGTGAATTTCTCTAAAAAGGCGAAAGCCCCTTTCTCCCAACAACGGCCAACGACCCCCCCCCCCCCCCTTTATAGCGTTCGTAACACAAGAAAAAATTCTTTCAGAGCAGACACGACCCCACCCCCATTCCTCAGCGACCAAATACCACCCCCTCCCCTTCTGGGGAACATCAACGGTGATGTGTACAAGGAATCCTATCAGGTCATCAAGCAGTGTGCATACAAGAAAGTAAACAGAGGAAGAAAAACATGAAATAAAAAAGCAAAAATAGATGTTAATGTCATAAAAATGTCATAAAAATTACTCACTGATTCCATTTTGAAGCAGATGCGGCTGTTGATGGCCTGTCAGAACGGTCGACTACAGTCCTATGAACAGATTGCGTAGGAAGTGAAACAATAGGCGTTTGGTTGTTTTAGTAGAAATGACAGTGTTGTCGAGAGTTACATCAGCTTTTATGTATGGGCTGAAGAGAACTTGATGATGAAGACGTCGATGGTGTGAATCAGCTATTCATGAAGGCATAGAGGCATCCAGAGACACTTTAATGCTTAAATGCCGTCTTTTGTCAGAACACTGGAATACTTTAGATGGAAATTGCGTCAAAAATTTCAAATGTAATCGCGTTGACCCGTAGAATGCTAAACAGAAAGGGAACATCTGCTTTTCTGAATCGGGAACTGGCAACGACCGCGCATAGGCGCCTGGTCAATCCCTTTATCGAAAGCATCACACTTTCGACGTTCCTTGAAAATCGAGTGGACTTGGAATGGCTAGTTGGCCTATCCATTGGTTCGACTACGAAAGTTGTCAATTCACAGGAATAAGTAATGAGTTGTTTAGCCGAGACAAGATCCGAACGTAATGTACAGATTTCATAAGAACCACAAAAAACACCTAAGGTCAAAAGAGATGATGGTAGATTCAAGTAGTAGGCACAGGTGAAGCGAGTGGCTTGGATCCCCCTCTTCTGAGTCGCGCCACATACTCTACTTCCACTCAGAATCGTGAGGCTGCATACATTTTTGCGGCAGCATCCACCAGCGCCTACCAGAATGTCTCCCAGCGTCTGCCAGTGTCTTGAAGGCTAGGGTATCGTTCTAGCGTTTGCCAGCGTCTGCCAGCGTCTACCAGCGCCTACCAGCGTCCACCAGCAACCGGAAGTAGAGAGTATGGGAAGTAGGAGGGTAGCAAACAGCTGGATTAGGCGTCGTGAAATTGCGGCGTGTGCAACCGCACCGTACAACTACACTACACCGTACATCAAGTTGCATAATTCTGTGCACTAGCAGTTGTGTGTTGTACACGCCACAATTTAGTTGTACACACGATTTACCGAGGCGTAATCCAGTTGTCTCCTACTTCCCCATACTCTCTACCCGCCGTCGCTGGTGAACGCTGATGGGCACTGAGGATTGCACACGCTAGATCGATACCTATTCTTTCCCAGCCCTCGAGGCGCTGGCAGACGCTGGAGGACGCTGGTACGCGGAGACGCTGGTAGACATGGCAGACGCTAGGTCGATATCTATACTTTTCTAGTTGCTGACGCGGCCGGGCATTCGGAACACTAGTTTACGCTGGCAGAAGCTGATGAACGCTCCCGCATTGTATGGATGCAGCCTACCACCTTCCGATGCAGCCTACCACCTTCCTGGTCTTACACTAACTCGCAAGAACCGTCGATGTACAACTCAGGATTCTGGCCTTTCAAGTTTCTTGAGGCACAGTCTGCAATACAATAAGGCTAGAACTCAGTTGCATCTATCATCATGATCAGTTATAAGAATGAAAGCCTTATTGAGGACCGAGCGAGGGGGTGTGGGTTGCTGCTTACTTCTTCGCTAGTGAGTCAACTAGCACACGTTATTTCGCCTTCGAATTCTATTACATTGGACTTGCGATCGCGGAAAGCGCCTCTAACTTTCAGAACATGTATGGAATTGGGGAACCCCCTTGCTCTACATGCACGACTTTTGCCAAAAATAACAAAAATCAATAAAATTGGAAACAGTACAAAAATGACATTTGTAAGCACGGCTGATGCGCACATGTGCCTTATGAATATTAATGATGTCCATGGAGGGTATACTAGTCACAGCAAAGACTCCTTTCCGCATTCTTACTAGAGCAGGGTGAAAACTGTATGAGCCCGTAGGAGGGACTTATATAAGGGCCACAGTGAACGGATATAGGTGTTGTCGGAAATCGGAACAACAATAATGCTCATGATCTACTTGTGGCCTGAGGGTTGGATGCAACGCGACGTTTCTAGTGAAAGCGCGCTTCAAAAGGTTGAACTGCAAATCATCAAGTAACGCACTGCTACAATAGTCTTAGTATTGTGAGCCTGAGGAGATGATAGGCACCGAAACATATAGTGAGGGACTTCTATTTTTTTTGTGTGCACACCTTGAGTGTATAGAAATAAACAAATAATAAATATGCAGTCGCGGGGTTTGTGTAGAAACCAACTAGGAGGTCAATAGATACAAAAATACTTACAGCAGCTGCTTTATTCAGAAAGTTTTCGCGCGTGCATCTCCTCGGGCGTGCTGTTAAATGCGCCTTGTGCTCCAGAAAAAAAGTATGAATTTTTTGCAGCCTCAATTGTTAAAAACTTTTGGATCCCATGAGGCCTTGGGACAGCATAATGCTAGAGGAAGCTCAGCGGCTGCGCCGTTAGCGTTTCAAAATTCGACCATGTGTCATATGTTTTCATTTTGTCAGCGATTCTGTGGGTTGCATATTCTTGAACATTCAATTGTCAACTTGAAAATTATTCACCCCAATTCAAAGCAGCTCAGAATCAGGTTAGAAGCACAAACGAACTGGTAAAGTTTTTGCGCTGTACGAGCCCTTCTTACTGATCTAATTTTCCTTCTAAAATGGCATAAACATTTGGCCAATGAGCAAAGCGCAATTGTTCGAGTTACTCCGCCTATACGAGCAGTAAGGTATGCGCCTTTGAGTGTTCAATCGAATCGAAGAGAAAACGCTTATGAAGCCCACTTTTCACTGTTGAGTTGCCCCATCCATCTGACATCTGATTAGACTTATTCCAGGGGCTTTATGTTCACTATGGGATAGCTTTCAAGGATCATGAACTATGAACAAAGATGGTTCCTGAACGCTGGGGCAGGTCATTGACGGCGACGGACTCTAACTTATACTCTTTATCTCTGAGACGGAGTGGGCGTGGCTTTTGAACATGGCATAGAATAGGTTTCGCAAATATTCCAGTTGGATAACTGCCATCTTGTTCAGTGTTGGACTGAGACATGACCACAGTTGTGTCAAAATGAAAATATCTCACTAAAAGCACAGACATCGCCCGTTTGGCTGAAGTACGCAGCCACGCCTACCCCATCTTAGGGATTTCGAGTGTAACTTGAGGGCAGAATATTACTTTCCCCTTCAACCTCTCCTTTCTTTTTCAATTTTTCTAAACAAAATCCCCACCTTTCCGAAACGGTTTTCTTATCACATAGATATCAATGATTGTGAGAATCACTCGGGAGAGACACTATTGTAAAGTAAGGGTTAGGGAAGGGAACTCCTTAGCTTTCCTTCATTCATTTTTTTCCGTTTGTTAAGTGTATGATAATGTGACGGCAATATGCGCTGAATGTGGAGCATTTCCAGCAATTCAAAGAATCGTCGCATTATTATTCCGAAATGTCTTCCTATACGTGTATTGTACGGTTTTCCACTAGTTGTCGATTTTAGTAAATAAAACACAATAACCAAAAAATCATAAATAGCCTTATGACAGTAATGACAGCCGTCCACATCATCGCCTCCTTTTTATATTCCTAACTTTGAAAAATATCGATTTGAATGAAAATGAAATAGCGAACTGTTCGGGTGCGCTCATTACATTCAACCCTTATTCCCACACATTTTAGCCGTTTAAACCGCATGCGGCACCTACAACATTTGAATTTAACTCCAACGCAAGGACCTTTTGAGTTGTGCCCTTAAATTTCTAGAAAACGGGCGCTAACATGCAAGCAGGACCTCCAACATTTCACGCTTCGTGACGTGAAGCGGCTGCACGTGGGCGGGTTTGTGAGTCTTGCGCAGCTTCAGTAGGGTGGGTAGTGAATCATGACAAAATTATTTATAAAACACCTGGCTAATTCACTAGTAGATGTCAAACAAAAGCGGGACTTAAGACAGGAGCATCAAGGACCCTGCTTTATCCCCTTTGGCCCTGTTTGTCTGAATGTATAGACGTGCGCATCAACCACACTGTCCGTCCCTCGACCCCACAAAGAACTGCGGGCACGCCGTGAGAAATCAAAATTTGACTCCCTTTGTCATTGAATAATTTACAGATAAATCAATATCAACGCGCCTGGTGAAAGGCGTGGTACGGAGGGGGCACGTAGTACACATCTATTTTTCCGCCGCCTTATCTAGTATGAATAGGCGACTCTGCTCATGTGTGCTCTGCCCAAGCTGAACCCTTTTGAGAAATTAAGGGGGGACATCAAAAGCTGTTGTACAGCATGGTGGGAAAATCCCACCGGGGGTGGGCTGGGGAACTAGTAGTTGCCCCTTAGTCCGCCTTAGGTGTGGTAGGTTTCAGCTTCGAGAGGCAATTTTTTCTGGTTTGTCCTGCGTGAATTTTGCCGTTTTACGTGCGGCCATAATGTATCCCTCGCCACAGTTGCCATGAACTCCTTATGTGAGTACCCCTCTCCACTTACTCTCGAAGCCAAATTTTTCAGTAGTGGGAAGGCTAGGGTCTCGAACGGAATTTTGAAGGGATCGCCCTATGCCATCCTTTTGCTCATCTCAACCCCTTATAGTCACGGCGCCTTGTGGCCCCTCAACTAAGTTCGCCCTGTAGGTTTGGCAGCTGTTGATTATTTCCGCTTCAATAGTCGGGAAAAGCATAAAAAAGTTTTGTTATGATAACTGCTGTTTAACGCCGCAGTACGCGTTCCGAATGTTATCACAAGAATGCTGAGTTGTGGGCAAAAGTCGTGCCCCAGGCGGGAGTCGAACCCGCACCTCACGCTTTCCGGGCGAGTGCGCTGTCAAGTTAAACGTGTGAGTGCTGATAGGCTACGGCATAAAAGCCGTTAAGCTGAGAGGGTAAAAAGCGGCCCTGGTGGCGTAACGGATAGCGCACTCGCCCGGAAAGCGTGAGGTGCGGGTTCGACTCCCGCCTGGGGCACGACTTTTGCCCACAACTCAGCATTCTTGTGATAACAAAAGGAGTGTCTCAGTCTTTCCGTTGATCTGATAAGAATTTATTGTCCCCGGAGGGTGGAAGACTAGGTTGGTCTCGACGGAGAGCCGGTCCAGGATTTGAACCCCGCTTGGTTGGTCTGGACGGGAGCCGGTCCGGGACTTGAACCCCTGACCGCGGTCTGGTAAGCATGCCACTTGCCACTACACCACCTGCGCCTCCATATAGTAAGGATCCAGTAAAAAGTTTCTGAAAATCAGTCAGGAGGGTACAGCATGCAAACAAGACTAAAAGTGCTGCTACTGTTACTAGAACCATTCCGTGCGCGTGCGCCTCTGCGACCTTCTGAAAAAATGCGGCTCATACCCTTGAAAATAAGCTATAGTTCCACGGGAAAAAACCCGAGCAAGCCAAAAAATGTGTTTATCAACAGTTTAGGCATACAAATTGCACTTACACAAAAAACAGGTTTAAGACAGTATCTTCGACTTATTAGTTTGATCATTGCCTTTTAAACGGAATAAATGCCCCGACTGATGTAAACGCGTTCAGTTGGCTTGTTACAAGTTTTTTTAGTGCTGTTTATAAGGTGCCACTAGGTCAGCACACATGGAGCCAAAGATGGGAAATGGTCATTTTCAGTTCTACTACTATCGATCTGACTTCAACGAGACTCACGCAGCGGAATGGCGTCGAACTCAAGAGGAATGTCGATGTCAAATGACGATGACGACAACGAAGGCGAGAAGCCTCAACTGCTATCCTCGTTCCATCATTGCCGACGCCACCAACGCCACTGCTGATTCATTGCGATGTGGCGAATGCTTTTCGTGCATTTCGATGCCAATGGCATCTGGAGAACGGTATGATCGCATTCTGAACAGTGCTCTTTTCATTTGATACAGGGAACATACAACATAAACCTAATTTTAGAAAAGCACAGATGGTGTTCGCATTCAGCTCGGATCACACAGCTGTGAATAAGTTGTTGGTACTGATCGGATCTGTACACAAGCACTATCCGTCTACAAAAGTTCTACTCTACGACACCGAAGTTGGCAGTGTAGGTTGTTTCCCTACATGTAGTTACACGAGTAGTTCCATAAAAAAGGGTAGTAAACGAAGAGAAGTAGAAGAATGGTTTAACGAGTAAGCTCTGTTTGAAGGGCACTCCCCCACGCTCCACCAGTTCAAAGTTATCCTTCCTTGCACAAGTAGTCTGGTCCCCAGTCTACAAAATTATCCCACTGTTGCGACGTGTTCGGAAAGAAATGCGCGTTTGAGTTTAAAAATTTTTTATTATAAAAACGAAATTAAACAAGATCAATTCAAAAGATAATCTCCATTACTATCAATGACTTGTTGCCAACGTTTATGCAAAGAATGGATTCCTCTTTCGAAGAACTCGGCCGGCTGCGACTCAAAGTAGTTGGACACCCAGAGTTGGAC